TGAACTCTGGGCCTGGGCGCTGTCCCTCAGCTCTTCAGCTCAAGGCTAGCGCTCTACCACTTGAGCCACAGCACCACTTCCGGCTTTTTGCTTATGTGGTGCTGAGGAATCAAACCCCGGGCCTCATGCATGCAAGGCAAGCGCTCTACCACTGAACCACCTTCCCAGCCCCGACCCCGGCTGTTTTTTTAACCAAAGGAAAACAGTGAACTATTGACTAAGTAGTTGGCCTGGGAGCTTTACAAAACCATAGATCTGCAGTTAGTCAACTGCAAAAATCACCTCTATCCAAATTCAGATTAAACCGTTTCCCTAGGCATGTGGTGGAGAGGCTGAAAGATGCCTTTTTGGGGAACGCGTGTCAGTCCTCCAGAGAGAAATGGGGGGGGAGCCCTGGGTGTGGCCAGTGGCAGAGTGCTCGTTCTGGGTTCTGAGCACACTGCGTTCAGGCTTTAACTCAGCACCAGAAACAAGTCCATGAGCTCTCTGTGAGGTTTCCCACCCGAGGGAGACGGCCCTGGAACGCAGCTTCTGTGCTGAGCTCTGGACAGTGTGGTTCCTCTCCTGTGTGCACACATGTGTGCGTGCAAGTCACACTGAGCAGCACGCAGCAATGGCTCACCCATTGCTCAGGTGTGCGTCCCCCAAGCTTCCTGTGTGAGGCCCTGGATTCTGCCCGCAGACAGAGCAAGGAGGAGAACCGGTGCTCTGTGAAGGGGCCTGGGCGGGCTGCAGCCGGCTGCCACCGGGCCTTGGGTGCACTTGGGCATCAGCCACCCTGGCCGGCAGCCCCTGCAGCAGGTGGCATGAGACGCACCTCAGGACAACAGAGGAAGCCGCGCTTGGGACCCAGTGTGGCACTTTTGTCTCCCTTCACCAGGGAAACGGCCTCGGGGTTGGCAGGGAGGGGGCGCTGGCCACAGTGGCCGGCAGGGCTCGGCTAATGGACCCTTGGCCTGAGGGCAACTGGTTTTTCTTGAGTTTGAGTCTTGTTCTGTTTCCCAGGTTGGCTTTAACTCCAACTCAAGGGACCCTCCTGAGTCGCTGGGACTACAGGCACACTCCACTATGCCAGGGAATTGGCTCTAATGCTTTCAAGAAATTGTGCTGTAGGGGCTGGGAAGGTGCTCAGGGGTAGAGCGCTTGCTTGCCTTGCATGCCAGAGGCTCTGGGTTCCATTCCCCAGCACCACATGAGCAAAAAAGAAAAAGAGCTGGAAGTGGCGCTGTGGCTCAAGTGGTAGAGCGCTAATTTTGAGCTAAAGAGCTGAGGGACAGTGCCCAGGCCCAGAGTTCAGGCCCCACGACCAGATTACCCCCCCAAAAAAAATTGTGCTGTAACCCAGCACTCCTGAGGCTGAGGCCGGCAGGCGGTAAGCTGCAGGCCAGCCTGGACTGCACTGTGCTCTCCTCTCAAAGCCCCAACGACTGTGGACTGAGGCCCCAGCAGGGTGGGGTGGGGGGTGGCACACTCCGTCAGCAGCGCAAGGCCCAAGTCTGATCCCCGCTCCCCCTCAAAAATCGCTCCCAAGGCCGACCGCAGGCCGCATGTGTGCAGCCCGCGCCTCTGCCGCGGAGGTGGACGCGTGCAGCAATGTTCTGTCTTCAGCTTTCAGACCCCCGTGATGGCCACTCAGATGACCCTGGTCATTCCTACTACCTGGCCCGCTGCCAGGGCCGGAGCGACTGCGCGGGTGCCGCAGCCACGCCGAGGCCGAGCCCGGGAGAAAGGCTGGGCGAGGAAGGGCAGCGCCACTCCGGACTCCCCGCCATCCTGTGGGGAGCTGCCAGCCGCGCTCCGCCGCCCCCCGCGTCCCCCAGTGCCAGCGACGTGGACATGCAGCCCGTGGGCGAGGCCAAGCTGCCCTCGGCTGCCCGCAGCCCCCAGGGTGCCAGGAGGCCGGCCTGGAGACCGTGGGCGTGGCCAGCCTCGGCCGCCATGCAGCTTGCTGAGGGGGGCAGACGACTGCCCAGCAGGGCCAAGGGCACGCGGTCGCCACCCCGGCTCCGGAGCGAGGGAGACAGGGCGCCCAGGCTCACGCTCTCCAAGAGAAAGCTGCAGCTTCTGCTCGCAGAACCTGTGAGCACTAAGAGAAAGAAGTACGTGGCCTGTTCTGGGGTGACTGGATTGGGTTCTGGAAGGGTCCAGAAGTCACCTGGGGTGGGGGCTCAGGTGGTAAGCTAGTGCTGAGGAGTGCATGTTTGTTTTTGTTCTGTGCCTACACCACTATGGGGTCTACACTCTGGGGCTGATGCTGCCCTATTGCTTTTTAATTTTTTTTTTGCCTGTCATGGGGCCTGAAGTCTGACCCTCAGCTCTTCAGCTCAAGGCCAGCGCTCTACCACTTGAGCCACAGCGCCACTTCTGGTTTTCTGGTGGTTCACTGGAGTTAAGAGTCTCATGGGCTTTCCTGCCTGGGCTGGCTTTGAACCGTGATCCTCAGATCTCAGCCTCTTGAGTAGCTGGGATTACAGGGGAGAGCCACTGGTGCTTAGCTTATTTTTGTTTTCTTTTTGTGCCAGTACTAACTGGGACTTGAATTCTCTTTCAGCCTTCTTTTTTTTGGTCTGGTCATGGAGCCTGAACTCTGGGCCTGGGCGCTGTCCCTCAGCTCTTCAGCTCGAGGCGAGCGCTCTACCACTTGAGCCACAGCGCCTCTTCCGGCTTTTTTCTTTTTGCTTATGTGGTGCTGAGGAATGGAACCCAGGGCCTCAGGCATGCAAGGCGAGCGCTCTACCACTGAGCCACCTTCCCAGCCCCAGCCTTTTCGTCTTATAGCTCTAGTTAGGATTTTCTTCTTTTTTTCGGTCAGTTGTGGGGCTTGAACTCTGGACCTGGGCATTGTTCCTCAGCTCTTCAGCTCAAGGTGAACTCTGTACCGCTTGAGCCACAGCGCCCAGGCCGAGTTCAGGTCTTCTAGTGGCTTATTGGAGATCAGAGTCTCATGGACTTTCCTGCCTGGGCTGGCTTTGAACCGCGATCCTCATATCTCAACCTCCTGAGTAGCTAGGATTAGAGGCATGAGCCACTGGCACCTAAACGGTGACAGATGGAGTCTGCTGTTGAGAGGGGATCTTGTGGTAGTCTTTAGTGGCCTTTGGGGAGAGTCTCAGTATTGGTGAGGAGCTAAGTTCTAAGCCAGAGGCCCACAGGCCGCCTGTGCCCGTGCATGGCTGCGCGAAGGCCGCCGTCGGGCCGCAGCCTCTGAGTGGGAGTCAGTGGCCTGAGCTGCCCCGGGGGGTGGGAGCAGAGGTGTTCGGAGCTGGAGCTGTTGGCGGGTTCTGCTCTGAGGATGCTGGCTGAGCTCTGATTTGCTTCTTGCAGGTAGCGAGAGCAGAGAGCCAACGTGGTGCCCGTGGATGCTGGTGGCTCTGTGCCCGGCCCCTTCTCCCAACAGGGTGCCCCCCCCACCCTCTGCAGGCTGCAGGACTCCCCCAAGTGCAAATAAAAGCCACGACCTCAGGGGCGCTGGTCCGTGCGGTGGGCGGCGCGGCTGTGTGGGGCAGTCAGTCCTCTTTTGTGGTCGCTGGGTGAGCACCGGGCCGGGCAGTGTGCTGCCGTGTTGTTTCCCCCCCCCCCCCCCCCCCGCCGTGGGATTAGCAGGTCTAGCTTTGCTGTGCCAGTAGGGGTGTTATTCAGGCTCTGGGGCAGCACCAGGGCCTCTCCCAGGAAGCCTGGCTACCCCACAAGGTCTGGCGGCCATCGGGTGAGGACAAGCCAGGCAGAAAGCCACACAGGCTGCCGGGAGGGGGGGCCCTGTGGAGTCGGGGTGACAGGGCAGGTGAGGCCCCGACCTCTGTCCCCACCCCCCCCCGCCAGATGAGTGCAGAGACGGAGCCAGCCATGTTTAGTGTTTTATTCATAAAACCAGCCCCGCGTGGACACTCTAAAACCACGCACTTCAGCTGTACCAACCCACTGCTTGCTACCGGCCGCCGCGCTCCGTGCCTCGGCGATCGCCCCGCCCTGCCTCCCTCCCGCTCCTTCCGCAGCGCAGCCCGCGCTGCCCCGCGGCCAGGGTGAATGCGTGTTAAATACTGAGTTTTACTGTGACATAGGGGAGCCCGCGGGTGCCTCACTCAGTGCACAGCACGGCCACGCCTCGCTCGTAGAAGCTTCGAGGATCTTCCTTGGTAGCAATTTCGAAGTCCACGGTGAAGATGAGGTCTGCCCGGGTGAAGTTCAGGTACACGGGTAAGGTCACCTGGGGAAGGGCAGAGGAAGAAGAGGTGAGGCGCGGCGGGGGTGGGGTGGGGGCTGGGAGCGGGGCAGGGCAGCGTCTGCTCACCACACTGGCCTTCTTCTCGGCGTTCGTCTGCTTGACCCAGCGCAGCTGCGTCAGCGGGAGGACGGTGGAGATGGCGTTGGACAGTGACAGCTTGTTGTTGTTGCACGTGGCCCCTTGGAGCTTCAGACCTGTGGGAGAGGAGGTCGCTGGGCGGCCGTCCCCCCTTCACCTGGGAACAGCGACCTGGGCTGCCCCACCTCCCAGCTCACCTGTGACCCCAAAGCTGCAGGCGTCCAGGGTGGCGCCCTGAGAGGTGGTGACATTGACCTCCAGGCAGAGCTCCTCCAAGGACCAGCTGGTGGCCTGGGCCACGTACTGCCTTGTGGCGGTGATGTACGCCTCGGGCACAAACAGGCCGCCGAGGTACACGTGGACGTTCTGTGGGAGAAGCCGCGCAGGGCAGGCGCTGCGGTCAGCCGTGTCCGCTGCGTGGGCCCGGCCTGGCCCTCAGGGCAGGCGTCCCGCTCCCCGCGGGCGGTCCCACCTTGAGTTCCTTGGCGCCCCCCGACGCGGCGGCCTGCGAGATGCTCTGCAGCTGCTTGATGCGCTCGCTGAAGTCCGACACCCACTGGATGACCGTCATGCCGGCCGGCACCGTGTAGTGAGACCAGCTCCGAGGCAGGATCCCTGCAGCCAGGCAGGGACCCACTCGCGTCAGCTCCACAGTGCCCCGTGGCTCCCCCCACCCAGGATGCCCCAGGTGCGTCTGTTCAGCATCCATTTAGCCCAGGGGGAGTGGTTTACACAGCTAAAAACCTCCCAAGCGGCTCAGGGCTTCTCAGCCCTGTGCCCTCGCCTGCCACCACCCCCACTCCCATCCAACCCACTTGCGACGGAGCCTTTTACATGAAGGGCACTGTGTGCTCCCTTGCCGCACTGGGACCCCCTAAAGTTATGCGACTTGGAGCAAGACTGCTCTACCCAGGAACCTGGCATAAAGGAGGAGCCCAAGGCGTGGGAAGGGCCCAGGAAGACCCGTGCGCAGGGCCTGCGGCGTGGCTGGGCACGGGGTTGCAGGCCCAGTACCTTTCACCAGCTCGTTGATGAGTGTGCGCAGGTAGTTGGTCTGCTTCTTCTTCCCCTCGCACACCTGTGCCACGTCTGCCAGGTCCTGGCGCACGTCCTGGAGCAGCTTCGCCCCCATCTTTACCTCCCTCTCAAAGAATCTGAACAGAGGATCCTAAGAACATTCCAGAAGAGAAGCGAGGATGAGGCCATGGCTCGCCCAGGGAGGAGACTCTTGTAAGGAGCCCAGAGCTGCTGACAGCGTCAGGGGACCTGGGGTGACCTGTCAGCGCTGCCCACCTTCACTTTGCTTTGGTGATCGACCAAAAAACAAGACAAAACAGTGGGGTTCACTTGGGGGCTTGAACTTGGGGCCTGGGCGCTGTCCCTAAGCTCTCTGTTCAAGGTTAGCACTCTACCATTTTGAGCCACAATGCCACTTCTGGTTTTCTGGTGGTTAACTGGAGGAGACAGGAGTCTCACAGACATTCCTGTGCAGGCTGGCTGTGAACTGCAATCCTCAGATCAGTCGCCTGAGTAGCTAGGATTATAGGCGTGAGCCACCGGTGCCCGGCTCTGTCCCTTTTTGAGGTCCTTTGCCTAGCCTAGGGAGCTGGCAGTTCCAAAAGATTCCTTGATGGTAAAATAGGTTCTGGAGTGCAGGAGCCACGGGAAGGCGGAGAGGCCAACCCTGGTCAAGTTCTTTACATGCACGCATGAAAACAGGTCAGTGAACCCTGCTGAAACTGGTTTACCAGCAGGGAGGAATGGGGGCAGAGATGGAGGGGCGCGTTTACCTGGGATGTGCTATGTGTACAGACAGAAGCAATACCACTTGTTGCAAGGAAAATGCTAAAGGGTTACTCCACTTGCTCCCGGCTGGGGATGAGCTGCTGCTGCTGCACAAGGCGGGGCCGCTCAAGCACCTCCTCCCCCCAGTTGGCTAACCCCGCATGGCTACCTTGATGTTCTCCACCGTGCGTTTGAGCGGGCTCAGCGCCTGGGGGATGAGGTGCAGCCAGTTGGAGGCCGTGGTGTGCAGGGTCCTCATCCAGGCCGGGCGCCCGTCAGATGTGGAGTCTGTCCTGGTCTTCTTCTCCGTCTCTGCGTAGGCCAGGTCATCCTCATCCTCCAGCATCTGCATCTTCAGCATCTTACTGATCATGTCCACACCTAGGCCACAGGCCACAGGAGGGGGAGAGGACGGAAGAGAAGAGACACGGAATGGAAAGGCCACAGGGCCAAAGTCTTGCTCAGGTGGCCTGAAAGGCACTAAGCTGGTGTGCAACGCGGGCTTTGTGGTGCTGTTTCCTCCCGTGTCCAGTCAGTGACTGAAGCACTGGCTGGGAGATCATACAGGACAACAGCTCACCCCAGGGCGAGGCCCTGGTGCCCCTCTGGTGCCTGATGGTGTGTGTGGAAAGAGGGGCTCACGACGGAGAGCTCTGAGGACATCTGTTCTGCCAACTCAGAGAACTGGTGGCTGCGGAGCCTCTTTGGTGTCCTCTGCCTCTGGCTGAACCACCCCAAACCGCTCTGCCTCAGCGGGCCCTGGACTCGGCCATGTCCACCAGCTGTCCTGCAAGCGCCCATGGGCAGTGGTGCCCTGCTGGTCGCTGCTGTCCTTCTCTGTTCTGGCCCTCACCTCCGAGGCGGCCAGCACAGCCTGTAGGACGCTGCACCCAGGCCTTCACTGTCCTCCCTGGCCCGGGCTGTGTGCTCTCATGGGACTGAGGAGCCTTCCGCACATGCATGCGCACACACATGCATGCACGCGCGCGCACACACACACACACCTTGGGTGGTCAGGAGCACCTTCTCAGCGTTGTTGGGCAGGCCCAGCCAGGAGGGCGTCTGTGCGTCGGGGAGCAGTTCCACCCACTGCACAAACTCCTCTCGCCTGGAAAAGTAGCACATGTGGAGCAGGTGTTAGGCAGCCCTGCAGCGCCAGCCGCGTCTCCTGCCACCCTCGGGCCCCCGAGGCGGCACGCACCTGATCCCATCGGGCATTTGAATGTCCTTGTGCCCATCGACCTTGCAGGCCAGCTTGAACTCACTATCGAAGCTCCTGGTGGTGAAGAGCCGCTCGAGGAAGGTGTTGAGCAGACGCTGGTCAAACTCATTGTCCACGCGCCCCCCGTAGATGGACTGGGCCATCAGGGTCTTCAGCGCAGACCAGGGGATCTTGTCAGGAGAGATGTTCTGCCTGCCCTGGGGTGCGGAGCCTGGGTTACACATGTGCGCTCAAACACTGGGCCTGCTGACTGGCAGTGCTCTCCTTGACCCTCCCTTCAGGTGTGGGGTGACTTGTGTGCTCCCTAGGCGGGCCCTGCCTCAACTGCGGCCTGGCCAACGTACCTTGGCCGTGTCGTCTAGCCATGTGTCCACTGTGTCACAGGCTGACCTCAGGTCAGATTCTCCAAATTCGTACTTCTTGGACCAGCCCAGGGGTGCGTAGCGCAGGCGCTCTTGGATGATGGCATGGAACCAGGCCAGCAGGAAATACAAGCGGGCACGTTCGTTGGGAGACTAGGTGAGAAAGTGAGGGAGGACAACCGTCAGAAGGCAGCATGGTTTGTGCGTGAGAGCGAGAGAAGAAAGGTGACCCGTCCTCTCCCCATGCCTGGGCCGCCGTGAGCTCCAGGGCGGAGCAGCAGCAGGGAAAGCAGGCTGGGGTGGGGGGCGGGGGGAAGGAGGAGGAGGAGGATGTTTTCTATTAGTGCAGACAGGAACTATCAGTCAACAGAACATTACAAGACACACTTTCTAAAAATGCACCAGAAAATAGCGGATTATGGCACAAAATCCAGTGGCATTCAGGACACGGAGCCCGTGCAGGCCCACTGCTGTAAACCCCTCTTCCCACTGCCGTAATCCCTCAGTCTCTGCAGGCACCCAGACGCTGTGAGTGGCCTCAGGGTCCTGGCGTGGGAGAGGAGGCTGCCGCCACCCTGTGGCACGTGACTGCGCTTCCATCTTTTCTGCGAGTGGGACACATGCTCTGCAACTAACCATGGCTGTGCAGGCGTGCCCCTGAGTGCACAGGAAGCAGATCTGTAAATGACCCGTGCACAGCTCCAGGACGCGCTGCTGAGAGCCCCACTTCCTTGCGCAGGGCTGGACGCTGTACCTTGCATATCCGAGACACAGGGATGCTGCTGAAGGTCCGCAGCATGTTGGCCTTCACGCCCGGTGGTGGCTCGAACACGAAGATGCGGCCTGCGCGGAGCAGGTTCACTGGCACCTAAGGGAGAGCGCACGGCTGTGATCCAGGGCTCCACTCAGCCAGCCAGCTCACAAAGCGCCCAGCCCTGTGTGTCCCCCCCACTTGCTCACCTTGGGGTTGATCTCCATGGTGAGGAAGAGCCGGAAGCAGGCGTGGGGCTGCAGGGAATGCAGCTTCTTCTCCAGCTGCATCAGCCACCCGGGGGCCAGGTGCACGTTCTTCAGCATCACCCACCTGTGCACACAGCACGAGCCATGACCCACGGGCCTCCACCAGCATGGGCAGATTTTGGCTCTTAGGCAAAACCAGCTAGGCTTACCTGCCCGATTTCACTGCCGTGTTGATAGCCTTGTCTGCTTGGTTGAAGCCTTCCGCTGAGCCTGAGGCAGGAAGGAAAGTGTGGGTAAGCAGCTGCAGCCTGCCTCCCACGAACCCGCAACGCCATCAAATGTCTTTACCGATGGCAATCGAGGTGATCTGTGTGTTCTGCTCAGCTGCCAGGTCCTCCACGTGCCCGCTGGCATCATACCCAGGCACAGAGCACATCAGGACAGGGGTGTTTGGCTTCACCTACAAGTGAAGAGGCAGTGGGACACTCACCTGCAGACTTCCGATGGGCAGGTTCAGGACCATGGGGGGGGGGGGGGCACAGCAAGGAACTGAGGCTTCACATGGCTGTGGTGGGGGATGGGGAAGCAGACATGGGGTTCTGGGAAAGCAGGTGGGCACGGGGCATTACCTCTGTGCCCACGATGTGTGTCAGGTCGAGCGGCTGCTCCATGATGGACATGAAGGACTCTCCAAGGTTGGTGGAGACAAACATGTGCGCCATGGCCAGCAAGCGGTCAGGCCGGAAAGCCTGAATCAAGAGCAGCCGGTGGATGGCCTGTCCGATGGGAGCTGAAAGGAGGGGTGCCAGGGTTGGGGAGGCAGACATCAAGACCCTGCCCCGGAGGCAGGGCGCTGGCGCGGCAGGCACTCAGTAGCCAAATCAACCTCTGCTCGGGCTCCACCCCAGAAAGCCCGTGGTCAATTCTGGCTCTCTAGCCTGGGGAGCGTCCGCCCTGCTTCCTGTTCCAATGCCCGGCAACCAGTCCTCACCAGCTAAGCATAGCAAGGTAAGGCACCATGCATCCGTCCATCTCTCTGATGGTATGGGGCTTTGAACTTAGGGCCCTGTGCTGGTTAGGCAGGCATTGTGTCAGTTCCTGTTGTTTTGCGGCAGGGGGTCAGGCTGGCCTGAAACCCCTACTTCTCAGACTGCGTCAGCCTCCCGAGTGCTGGGGTTACAGGTATGCACCACCAATTGAGCTTATTCGTGATCCTTTCATCATTCAACCTGTTCAGTGCAAAACAGCCAGGAATTCTCAGGAGGTCTGGGGACATGGCAGTGGCTGGCTGTGGGGTGCAGCAATGTCCCTACTCTGCCTTCTGCAGTCTGGACCCTGAGATTGGGTGGTCATTTCTGCAAGTGCCCACCTGTTGTGGCCCAAGGCATTTTCTCTTTTATGTAAGGAGAGGGCTTTTCTACCATCCGCCTGTGTCTGCGGGGTCTTTTAGTTGGAGCAGGAATTAGGAACTTTGTTTTTCGCTCTTCTACATCAAGAACCATTAGATTTTTTTGGGGGGGTGGATGGGGGAGTTGTGGGGCTTGGACTTGGGGCCTGGATGCTGTTCCTGAGCCCTTTTGCTAAAGGTGACTAGCACTCTACTACTTGAGCTGTACTTCCTGTTTTCTGGTGGTTTATTGGAAAAAAGAGTCTCATGCACTTTCCTGACCAGGCTGGCTTTGAACTGCGATCCTCAGATCTCAGCCTCCTGACTAGCCAGGATTACAGGCGTGAGCCACTGGTGCCCAGCAAGAGCCATTTGCCTAGGTATTTCCTACAGAGTTTATAGAGTGTCATTGTATAGCTTGAGCTGCACAGTTCAAGGGGCATCTCCTACAGTGGCCTCCTATTTTTTTTTTTGGGGGGGGGGTCCAGTTGTGGAGCCTGTACTCTGGGCCTGGGCACTGTCCCTCAGCTCTTCAGCTCAAGGCTAGCGCTCTACCCCTTGAGCCACAGGGCCACTTCCGGCTTTTTGTTTTTGCTTATGTGGTGCTGAGGAATCAAACCCAGGGCCTCAGGCATGCAAGGCATGCGTTCTACCACTGAGCCACCTTCCCAGCCCTTTTTAACTCTTTTAAGTGCTAATGTATCCTGGGAACCAGTGATGCTTTGGTTTGTGGAAGCTTCCCTCCCCACCCCAGTCTTTATGTTCAGGCCAAGAAACACGAGCAGGAGCCCGGATGCCACTCACTCGCAGGCGTGTCCTCACTCCAGACGTACGGCACTGTCTGCTCTGGGGAGCTGCTGTCCAGCCAGATGCCAAATTGCTGTGGAGGCAACAGAGCATCACCAAGAAGCAGACCTGGATGGAGCCCAGGCCCGCGCCCCGCTGCTGAGCTAGCGGAGGCCAGGGCTGACCGCGGGAGGGTGCCAGGGCCAGTCTTCCAGGTGTCTGCCGTCTCTCTGTGTTCCCTCCTTGCCCATTTAATGGGAAAAGGGCACAGTTCTCGTGGGACACATATGGAAGGACAGTTACCTCATCTGCCTGAACCTTCGCGATCAGATCTTTAAATGCAGGAAGACAGCTCAACCTCACAACGGCCTCTGCTTGTTCCATAGTCAGGCCCTGGACTTTGGGAGTGGAGCCTGCACTCAGCACAATCTCCTTCCCTCTCAGGAAGTGCTGGAACTCAGCATCATAGGTGGGCTCCCTGGAGAAAGAGGTCAGTCACCAAGATGAGGAACAAAGAACACATCCCAGTGGGACATGCACGCAGGCAAGCAGTGACTTTTACCCCAGAGCAAAAGCAGGGAGCTGGACTTACCCCACAGTGCCCTTCAGCTTGATCCTCGCCAGCAACATGGCGAAGGTGATGTGGTCCTGGTGCAGCATACCTCGGGCCACTCGGTTAAACGCCACCTGTGGACAGAGGAGGAAGCACTCACGTCCTGAAGAGGCGCTGCACCCACTCAGGCACACAGTGTCTCTGCCGTTCCCACCCTCACGTGCACAGTGGGTCTTCTGGTCCCACCCGCGGGCACACAGTGTCTGAGTGCTGTACCTGGAAGAGGTCCCTGGTGACAGTGGCGAGGCGCTGTGTGTGGTCACTGACCCCCTTCAGGTTTGGGTTCTCATACAGCACATTGTGGTAGATGTCCAGGAAGAACTGGAGGGAGTACTGGTAGAGGAAGTGTATCTGCAAGGAAGGTGGGCACGACTGTCAGCCCCCTCCTCCCCTCCTCCCCTCCCCATCCCCCCAACAAGCCGAGAGTGTGCGTCAGTCACCTGCTTCAGGGACTCCATGGTGAAGTAGATGCTGCTGCAGGCGGTGGACAGTGGCAGGTACTGCTGCGACACCGTCTCCACCTCCTGCATGACGATATCCGTCTCCTCCACCTTCCTGGTCACCTCAGCAGCTTCTCGCTTGAGGTTCTCCAGGGTCGTTATGATTGTGTCATCATCCAGGATGCGACCTTTCACCTCGTTCAGCGCTTGTAGCAGAGACTTCTCCAGCTGGCGTAAGCGGAGCTGAAACTCCCCTAAAGCGATCAAGACACGCAGGTTGCTATGATGCCTACGCTCATCCGAGGAAAAGCAGTGCTCCAGAGGTCAGCATGAAGGCGGTGGGTGGCCTCCCTGCTCCAAGTGGAGCCTCCACTGTGTACCCTACCTTGAAGCTTAAGAAGATCAGAACGCTTTTCGTCCACGTCGGGCCTCTCTGCCTTCAGCACTTCATTGAGACACTGGCTCTGCAGACTGCTCCGGGTGACGGTGAAGTTCACAAAGGTGACCCGGGAGCACAGGTCCGGTGGGAACTCAACCTGCCCAAACAGAGGGCACAACGGCCTCCGTCAAGTCAGCTGCAAAGCCACCCTGCACACGTCACACACGAGGAGTCTCACTGCTTACCGTGGGGTCTCTGGTGGACAGGAAGATGACAAATGATGGTGACAAATCTATGTCCTGGTCACCAAGGGTGATCAGCACCCTCCCTCCTGTGCGCCGAACTTCACGATTCAGTACTGGATTCAAAACTGGGTCGTAGCTCTCCACATCCTGTAACAGGTGAGTGAACAGACATCACCTTCCTCCCCCTGACAAGCACACCAGCCAGGAGCCACCTAGCCACCCACACCTGCGCACTGGCTCAAGTGACAGCCAGGAGCCACACGTACTTACTTAAATCAAGGTAAGATTAAAATTGACACATACTTATAATCCTAGTACTTGGAGGATCTTAAGTTCAAGGCTGGCCCAAGCTACATAGTAAAATCACCTCAAACAAATAGGAAGTGAAGATGAGGCTCCAGTGGTTGAGTACCAGCCTTGAGCAAAAAAGCCAAGAAAGAGTGTGAGGCCCTGGGTTCAAGCTCTGATACACACACACACACACACACACTCTCTCTCTCTCTCTCTCTCTCTCTCTCAGTTCTTGCACTAGGGAGGGGATATAGCTCTCAGTGGCAGAGTACCTAGCACATGCAATTCACAAGGCCCTGGGTTCCATCCTCAGCACCAATTAAAAAGAAAAATCAGCTGGGCACCGGTAGCTCACGCCTGTAATCAGGAGGGTGAGATTTGAGGATTGCGGTTCAAAGCCAGCCTGGGCAGAACATCCATAACTCCAATTAACCACCAGAAAACTGGATGTGGCACTGTGCCTCAAGTGGTATAGCTAGCCTTGAGCTGCTGAGGAGCTCAGGGACAGTACCCAGGCCCGGGGTTGAAGCCCCACAACGGACAAAAAAAAAAGTTTTTTTTCACACTTTCTGAATAGAATTTTAAATTCAAACACTGCTTTGTTAATTTATTTTTGATTGGTCATTGAGTTTGAACTCAGGGCCTCGGCTTTGTCCCTGAGCTTTTTTTTTCAACACTAGTGGCTCTACAGGCTACTTCTGGTTTTCTGGTGGTTAACTGGAGATAAGAATCTCACAGAGCTGGAAGCCGTGGCTCAACCCCATAATCCTAGCTACTCAAGAGGCTGAGATCCTGGTTCAAAGGCAGCTCAGACAGGAAAATCCTAGAGACTCTTATCTCTAATTAATCACAGTAAAATCCAAGAAGTGGTGTTGTGGCTCAAATGGTAGAGTGCTAGCCTTGAGCAAAAGGAGCTCAGGGACAAGTTCAAGCCCCTGGACCAGCAAAAAAAAAAAAAGAGTTTCATAGACTTTTCTGCCTGGGCTGGCTTTGAACTGTGATCTCAGCCTCCTGAGTAGCTAGGATTACAAGTATGAGTCACTGATGCCCAGCTGGATTTTTGAATTAAAAAAAAAAAAATTTATTTTGGCCAGTCCTGGGGCTTGAACTCAGGGCCTGGGTGCTGTCCCTGAGCTTCTTTTGGTCAAGCCTAGCACTATGCCACTTGAGCCACAGCACCACTTCTGGCTTCATGCATGCTAGGCAAGCACTCTACCACTAAGCCACTTTCCCAGCCCCTAAATTTAAATTTTATAGAGCAACTTCAAACTTTACCCTTGCTCTGATATCAAGTCTGTAAAAGTTCAAATATCAATGTTTGTAGCATGTAGTTTTTTTTTTTTTTGTCGGTCGTGGGGCTTGAACTCTGGGCTTGGGGTGCTGTTCTGCGCTCTTCAGCTCAAGGCGAGCGCTCTACTGCTTGAGCCACAGTGCCACTTCTGGTTTTCTAGTGGTTTATTGGAGATAAGAGTCTCACGGACTTTCCTGCCCCGGCTGGCTTTGAACCGGGATCCTCAGATCTCAGCCTCCTGAGTAGCTACGATTACAGGCATGAGCCACTGGCGCCCAGCTTGTACCATGGAGTTTAAAGACCTAACTACAAGCCTAAAAGAAATTCAGTCTTGGAAGCTGGTCTTAGAATTCAAACATAGTTGGGTGCTCATGCTTGTAATCCTAGTTACTCAGGAGTCTGAGATCTGATCATTGAGTTCAAAGTCAGGCTGGGCAGGAAAGTATCAAACTTTTTTGGCCTGTCTTGGGGCTTGAACTCAGGGCCTGGGTGCTGTCCCTGAGCGTCTTTTACTCAAGGCTAGCATTCTACCACTTGAGCCACAGCACCAATTCTGGCTTTTTCTGTTCATGTGGTACTGAGGACTTGAACCCAGGGCTTCATGCATGCTAGGCAAGTACTCTACCTCTAAGCCACATTCCCAGCTCCTTTTCTGAGTTTTTTTTTTTTTTTGGGGGTCCATTGTGGGGCCTGAACTCTGGGCCTGAGCACTGTCCCTCAGCAAATAAGCTTAAGGCTAACGCACTACCACTTGAGCCACAGTGCCACTTCCAGCTTTTTCTGCTTATGTGGTGCTGAGGAATCTAACACAGGACCTTATACATGCAAGGCAAGCACTCTACCACTGAGTCACCTTCCCAGCTGCCCCGCCCCCTTTTTTTTGTTGTCATTGGTAGTGGGGTCTGAACTCTGGGCTTGGGCACTGCCCTTCAGCTCTTCACCTCAAGGCTAGCACTTTACCACTTGAGACACAGTGCCACTTCCAGCTTTTTCTGCTTATGTGGTGCTGAGGAATCAAACCCAGGACCCCATTCATGCAACAAGGCATGTACTCTATCACTGAGCCACCTTCCCAGCCCCCTTTTCTGAGTATTTTTATTGGAGATGAGAGTCTCATGGGCTTTCCTGCCTGAGCTGTCTTTGAACTGCAATCTTTAGATTTCAGCCTCCTGAGTAGCTAGGATTATAGATGTGAGCCACCGAGCCTGACTTCTATGAAACTTTTTTTTCCTCTATGAAATGCTTATGAACTTCAAAAAGCCAGAGTGTAGCTGTGGCTCAAGGTAGAGGGCTACCTTTGAGCCAAACAGCTCAGGGACAGTGCCAAGGCCCGGAATTCAAGTTCAGGGGCCAATAGACAGACTGACAAGAGACTGAGACAGAGATATAGATAGGAATTCAAGTGTAATCACAAACCTGGACCAGAAGGGGGTTCCCAAATCTCAGTGCACTCTCCAGATTCTTTCTGAAGGCATCATCCAAGAAGCTGGTCCGTGTGATCTTCCGGTCCTTGTACTCATTCATAATGAACTCCGTGGCCTGCCCGGAGGGATCGATGATCAGCGGATACCTGCAGATGTGACCAAGGAATGGTGAACTGGCCGACCAGCCAGGAGGGAAGAAGGGCTATTATCAGACCATTCAGTGGTTTCTAGGTAATTCCAGGATTACTGATGCTGGATGCTAGGATCAAGTTATCTTTCTCAAGAAGGGCTGTGATGAGCAGAGCAGCTCAGGGAAGATTAGGAATGGGAAGGAACTAGAAGGTTAGGAATGGAAGAACTATGCCCCACCCCTCCCCACCTCCCAGTCCTCTACCAGTGCTGTCTGAATGGAAAGGGTGAGTGCACACAGTGCCTGGCTCCTACCGATTGAAGCGTTTCAGCATGATGGCGTTCTCCGTGCACAGGTCGTCGGCAGGCAGGGAGCTGGCCTGCCAGCGCAGACGCTCGTCAGCATTGGAGAGGTACTCAGTCCTCGCGATGTCTGTGCGGAACTGAGAAGGGAGCTGGTTATCTTCCCCCTACTCAGCTATAGACAGCGACTGTTCCCAAGTGAACACTCGGAGTGAGTGGCTCCCACCACCCTGGAGCTCCCCACAGCCAGTCACCTGGATGTTGGCTTGCTGCAGGTGGTGAGACCAGGTGGTGAACAAGTTCTGCCGCATCTGCTGGTCAAAGTACCCGGCATAGGCGATGAAGGCGGCCGACAGCAGGCAGTCCCCGGCAATGGTGGACATCTGGTTCTTGAACGTCTCACTTGTTTTTTCCCATCGTTCCCGTTCAGCAGACAAGCTCTTCAGGAGAGCAGTGCTCCGGTTCACCTACAAACGATTAGAGGTGCTCAGGGAGTGGCACACTGGGCGTGCACCCAACGCCCCCCTCAGAAGAGGCGTGCCAAGGTGCGCAGCCCATGCAAGTGAGCAGCGGGCTTCTGCTGTGCGTGCTCCAGCAACGACAGCCAAGTCCCACCATGGCCGTCCCGGGCTGGGCTCTCCTCAGAGCACAGGGCTCACTGTTAGCCTGAGATGGAGGGGCCCGAGATGAGGGACAAAGGGGGTGTCCAAAGAGAACAGATGACAATAGTGGCAGAAGACCAAGGAGCTTTTCTTGAGAACTGGAAAGAGGAAGTGGGCGAGTGACAGCAGTGGCTGGGACAGAGGATGGACAAGAGACCCAGAAAAGAAGTTTTAAAAAGTGGGAGAACAGGGGGTGGGAAGGTGGCTCGTGGTTGAGCGCTTGCCTTGCATGCCTGAGGCCCTGGGTTCGATTCCTCAGCACCACATAAGCAGAAAGAAAAAAGCCAGAAGTGGCACTGTGGCTCAAGTGGTAGAGCGCTAGCCTTGAGCTGAAGAGCTGAGGGACAGCGCCCAGGCCCAGTTCAGGCCCCCCGCCCCCCCCCCCCCCCCCCCAAAAAAAAAAACCAACGAACAACAACAACAACAAAAATAAGTGGGAGAACAGACAGAAGGAGAAGGACTTGCTGGCTTTAGACTGTCAAGCAATCTAATTATCACTGCGCCAAGCAATAAGCCAGACCCCAACAAGCACAGAGACCCACGAAGACCAACAAAGCCTGTGCAGCTCAAGTTCATGTGCACAGTTCCCAGTTCCCAGACTCCCTCGGGGAGGCTGAGGGCTAGTCCCAGGTACGTGCAGACTGTAGGAGGCCGAGTGGCTTACTTTGGCCTCGACGGCTGCCAGGTCGGCCTTGATGGCCTGGGCCTCTGAGATGAGGACGGCATACTCCTCCTTGTAGCGCGCAATGCTGGCCTCTAGGTCCCGGATCATCTGTTCCACCTCGTTGGCCTTCTGCTGGTTGTCCTTGGCATCATCTTCCAGCTTCTGCAGCTCATTCCGCAGGGGCTCCACTCTCTTCAGCATGTCTGCGTAATTCAGCTGTGATGGGAGAGTCCACAGTTGTGGTTGCAAGTGACAGAAGGGCTGGTCCTTATCTCCAGGAGCTGCCGGCTGCATGCTTACCTGTGCGATCGCCCATTTTACCATGGGGCCACAGGCCAGGGAGGCGCGGTTGACAATCTCGTAATTGTAACTTGGATTGGACATGTAGTTCTTCTTCATCTTCTCCCTTATGGCATCACTGGAAAAGAGGAATTTTCTTTCTAAGTGTGTGTAGGATAAAAAGGACTTGAGTTCCCATCTGGATGGTTCTGGCTTAGCCCTGTCTTGGGTGGAAAAAGCAGTAGGCTGTGCTGCCAAAGCTGCATGCTAGGCCTTGGGCTGGTTTCGGGGTAGCAGGTGGGTGGCCCCCGCCAGGGGCTGTGTCCTCACAGCTGCTCCCAGGACGGACGCCTGCAGGATTCGTGTAGCCCACACTGCCTGCTGCTCTGAGGCACCAGAGATGGCCGGGCAGCCTGAAGTAAACGCTAGCCACACAGAGCCGCTGGATACCAGGACGCCGCTAGCACATGGGCATGCTTCCTCCATGCCAGCTGGGCACTGGCACTGCGGCATGCGCACCTGATCTCCTCAGCAGAGAAGTTGACGATGGTGGGGATGAAGTTCTCCCGCATGATGATGGAGCGGATCTGCTTCCAGTCCGTGGTGCTTTCGCCCAGCAGCAGGCAGATGGACTCGAGAGCCAGCTTCACGGCAGCAGGAGGGTTGGCCATGGACCGCACTTCCACCAGGTGCTGCTTCTTGATGGATTTCACAGCTGCAGATGTGGGCAAGACGGGACAGCGCACAGCGAGGTGAGGATGAGCCACCAAGGTTGGCGCTGACTCCCGTAGGAGGCAGACACGCACAGCACTGGGGTCAGAGCCCGTGGACTCTGACCTTTCATTTTTTTTATTTTTTTGGGTCCGGTCGTGGGGCCTGAACTCTGGGCCTGGGCGCTGTCCCTCAGCTCTTCAGCTCAAGGCTAGTGCTCTACCACTTGAGCCTCAACCCCACTTCTGGCTTTTCCTTTTTGCTTATTTGGTGCTGAGGAATCGAACCCAGGGCCTCATGCATACAAGGCAAGCGCTCTACCACTGAGCCACCTTCCCAGTCCCTCACTTTTTATTCATTTATTTATTTTTTATTTTTTGGGTCCGGTCGTGGGGCCTGAACTCTGGGCCTGGGCGCTGTCCCTCAGCTCTTCAGCTCAAGGCTAGCACTCTACCACCTGAGCCACAGCACCACTTCCGGCTTTTTGCTTATGTGGTGCTGAGGAATCGAACCCAGGTCCTCGAGCATGCAAGGCAAGTGCTCTACCACTGAGCCACCTTCCCAGCCCTCACTTTTTTTTTTAATATAGCCAATTTTTGATTGAATGATTACATAAACTTCAAATTTCACAGTAGTGTGAAATAGTGATACTTAAAGTCACAAACACATCCTAACCTTCATGCTGACCTTTCATTTTTGATTAGGGTTAGAACTCAGGTGCTCTATCACTGGAGATACGCTTTTTTGTTCTAACTGCACTTGAGATAGGGTCTTGTGTATCTGTGATCAGGCTGGCTTTGAACTATGATTCTACTATTCACTCTTATTGCTATAGTTGTGATTATAGCTGTAAGTGCCATCATGCTCAGCTGTTTCCTGTTGGCATGGAATCTCACAAAACTTTTGCAATCTTGTTCATTTTCGTCTTTGCAAGTAGCTGGGATTATAGGTGTGGGCCAACCACACTTGGCAAAAGTAAACAATTTTAATGTAATCAAGCATTCATTCCTTTAGGGTTTCTGATACACAGTCTTAATCCCACATCTGCGGCTGGTCTGGACCTCACTAGTAGCTCCCACTGGTCTCACACTCACAATCCTCCTGCCTCCCACAAATGAGTGCTGAGATGAGACCAAGCACAAGGAGCGGCAAGGAAGCACAAGCAGTCCCCTCCCCGCATTATGTGCTTGGCTAGGAGAATGCTTTACCTCAGCCACAGTTAGACCTTAAGGCCACTTTTTGAGGGGAGGGGCTCAGTTGTGAAGCTTGAACTCTGGGCCTAGGCACTGTCTCTGAGCTTTTCAGCTCAAAGCGAGCTGTCACTTGAGCCTCAGTGCCACTTCTGACTTTACTGGTATGTTTAACTGGAGATGAGTGTCTCATCAACTTTCCTGTCTGGGCTGGCTTTGAACTGCGATCCTCCTATTTAGGCCCTTAGTTGCTAGGATTGGAGGTGTGAGCCACTGGCGCTCAGCTTTGGTGCAGACCATTCTTAATCACTGGGTGAAGTGCAAACTCAAAGCGGTGTCTTACTCCAGCATTCCACAGGCATGTATGCTATCTCCACTTAAATAAATAAAGCATTGCAAGCCAAGGCCAGACACACTCAAATCACTACATGAGGGTGACACGGACCGTGATCACTTCATGAAATTCAAGTCAGGGACTGATAAACCCTACCAGCACCATGTGTTTTAGAAAGCAGGCACATTTTTAGCCGGGCGCCGGTAGCTCACGCCTGTCATCCTAGCTACTCAGGAGGCTGAGATCTGGAGATGGCGGTTCAAAGCCAGCCCAGGCAGGAAAAGTCCATGAGACTCTTATCTCCAATAAACTACAAAACTGGAAGTGGCGCTGTGGCTCAAGTGGTAGAGCACTCACCTTGAGCTGAAGAGCTGAGGGACAGCGCCCAG